AACTCACAGAGATCCGCCTGCCTCTGCCTCCCGAGTGCTGGGATTAAAGGCGTGCGCCACCACCGCCCGGCTAAAATGAAATTTTTAAAGAGGAATAATTAAACTTGAAAATTTTAATCAAGATTTTTTTTCTTTGAAGATGGTTAATTTTAGAATTTGAATTGTTAATATATCTCTGTGTGTTTTACTTAGATAAATATCTGATAGCCTTATCCTGTGTTTAAATGTTATTTGTTTAGCATAGACATTAAAAATAACTTCTGGGGCAAAAAGAATAGTTTCCTGGACCTTGCATCTGCCCTACGCAGGCAGGAAGGTGAAGTCCCGGAGTCTGCACTTTTAGCTGATTCATAAGCATACTAAAACTTGAAAAACGCTATTGTAGATACCATAGAATCTTTCTGAATGCATATGAATGTAGAAAATCGGAATTTGAAAGCATATGAACAATACAACCTGTGGGTCAGGTGTATAAAAAAATGTTCTAGAAACTGCATTTAAATAAAATAACAATAACATTGCACGTAGATACATAAAATCAAAAGTATATGTTGTGCCCAAAGAGACCCAATGAAGACATTTAGATTAGCTTAGATATCAGCTTAATACTTTAATAAGACAGTTGCTGCTATGCATATCATTTAAGTGTGTCCCCACAGGTTTAAGCGGTAGGAACCAAGTCATCAGAACGAAGGTGGTGTTGGTAGTTGTATAGAGCCTTTAAAAGTTGGGACCTGGTGGTAAGTAACTGTGTCATTAGAGGTCTTCAGAATGAATTGGTGTAGTTCTTATTGGGCCCTAATTAGTTCTCAAGAAAGAGTAGTTATAAAGCAAACCTTATCACCTTCCTTCTCTCTCTCCTCTCTCTCCCCCTTCTGTCTCTGTCTCCTCTCTTCCTCTCCCTCCTCCTTTCTAGCTCTCTCTCTCACTCTCCATGATGTGATCCACTATGATGTGATGCAGTCAAAGGATTTTTCACCACAGTCAAGTGGATACTGGTACCATGCTCCTGACTCTCCAGGACTGTAGATTAACTTAACCTATATCTATTATGCAGTACCCAGCCTCAGTAATTCAGTATAATAGGAAACAGAATACTAACACTTCTCACATAATCATATTCAGAAATGCACACACATAAGCAAGTTGATTTGCTTCCCTTAATGCTTATTTAATAAAGTAAGTCAGGACAAATATCTCTGCTCTGTGTATTGGTGGCTATCATGGAAGAAAGTGACAGGGAAGGTCCCTTAACAACACAGTAAACCAGAAAAGACCACATTCCTGTTCCCTGCAGATATGAGGGTGACCATGCTTGATGTGTACAGGAGTCGTAGCAGCCCAACCACCACAGAAGTAGGTGGATCTTGGAGAATTACTCTGTACTACTATAAATATTTATAAGTGGCTACTTCAATTCCAACATCCACTCTAGAGGCCCTCTGTGTTGGCACACATGAACACACATGTCACTGTGATTTTAAAAAAATGTCTTTTTCCATCATTAGCACTAATCTTAGAACTGTCTGGTCAGCAGTGATGTCCTCACTGTCTGTCTCCAATGATATATGTCCATGCTGAGGCTCTCACATGTCTCGTTCTGGAAGGACCTTGATACTGAGGCCACTTCATAGGATCCATGCTGGAACACCAAACTGGTATCCTCATGCTAGCTAAACACAGACATGAGGTATTGTGTTCATCAGATTCCCTTGTATGAATGGAATCCATGAGATAACCTAAAGGTTCAAGGTTGGTTTTGACTCAGGGTTTCAGAGGGTTCGGCCTATGGTCAACTGGCCCTGTTGCTTTGGGCATGGACAGCACAGCATATCATGGTGAGAGGAGAGCTGCTCACTCCATGGCAGCTGGGAAGCAAAGGGTAGGAGAGGATGAGAAGCCACTGAGGTTCCACTATTCCCTTCAAGGACATACTCCTAGTGACCTAATTTCATTCAGCTATGCTCCACCTCCTAAGGACTCCACCATCCCCCAATAATGCCGCCTAGTAGCTGAGCTCTTACACACATTGGGGGAGAGTCTTAACCTAAATGATGAGCCTGATATATAAATACCCTAATGCCACAGTGCAGGAGACAAACCTAGAAAAACAGCCAAGAATTCCATGGTATTTGGCCTGTTTCAGTATCTCCTCCAAGAAAAAGATAAGCTACTGCATAACTCCTTACCACTCATAGGCAACATGTGCTTGGTGGCCATGCCACATCTTGAAACAATGCACACCTAATTATGCTCCTCTAACCATTTTTGGTTTTGGGTGGGCACAGCATGGCCACCAATGTTGAGGGGAGTCCATAACAAGCAATATCAGACCTCAAATCCAACTATGCCCAAAGAGGCAGAGGAGAACTTTAAAAGGAGCCACTGACAAAACTTGTCCCCCAAAGCAGGACAAACCCTGGGAATTATTTCAAAGTTTCTTCTGCAAATAACTGTTCTCCTTCAGAGGTATAGTTGCTGGTTTGCCACTGAAGTCCCTGAAGACCCAAACACTTCAGTCTTACACTTGGGGTTCTGAATCCTCATTTCTCCCTCATTCTATCCCCACAGGCCCGGAGGGAATTCTCCAAGATCAGCTGCCAAGGAAGAAGTTCAGGTGTTTCTACATGGCAGAGGGCAAGGGAATATGGAATGGTAAGGAGAGGACAAGACTTTACAAAATTCACTGATTACCCCTTAGCATCCTGAGGCAACCACACTGAGGCATCATGCGTATCCTCCACGTGTTGGTTGCGTATATAATTGCTGTTTTCCACTACATTACATAAACGTGGGGATGGCAGTAAATCCTGTTAGGCAGGCTTTGAGTTACAGGAAGTCATTGGGAGATGGTGGCTGAAGCAGGAAAGGAAAAGGTCCCCCAGTGTAACCCTGCCCCAATGGACTCTAATCTTCCTTCTTTAACAGACAGTGCACCTAGATGACACTCAGATGAGTTCCTCAGTGAGGAAAGCAATCAACTGAAATGGAAACAGCAATGAAAGCTATAACAGCAGGAATGGAAAACCAGCAAGAGTGGTGGAAAGATGAAATCCACGCCCCTGGAAATACATAGATGGCATGCACTCCTGCATTTCACCTCCTAAGGGTTAAACCTGCCTTTGGACCTTCTTCTGCTGACTCATTGGGTTTTTCCTACTCTCGGATATTATGACATAGTAAATAAAACAGATGCTAAATGCAAAGTATAGCTACCATGTCAACCATCTGGGACAAGTGACAATTTTCAAAAAATGGTTAAAACCTCTTAAAATGTTTGTTTTTTAGTGTTTGCAGTTCTTGAGTCAGGACCAGAGAACATTTCTTAGGCCCTGCCTTGGGAAGATTCTCTACTTTTACTGAGACGTTGTTCAAACTGAGCCTCACTCACCCTCCTAGGATCTCAGATTTGCTCACGGTGAACAGACTGTCCACTGCAGAGTGTTTGGCCATTACGATCCGATGGTCAAATGGGGCTGCAGGAGCAGGGACATCATCTATAAGAGGAGAAGAAAAGGGCTGTCCATCAAGGAGTCTGACCTCCTTCCATCATCAAGCAGCACATCTCATAGTAAAAATCAGCTCATGCAAAACTGAAATATAATCCTGGCTTCTTCCCGATGAGCCTAATACACATTTCCATTTCACGTAGGAATGGTCTGTGACTCATGGCCATCTTATCAGGTGTCTCTGAGAGACAATGTTATTCACAAACTCTTTAGGGTAACTTCTAGACAATGCAAGGCAGAGGAAAGTCTGCCATCCCAAGACAATCAAACACTTTCAGGGCTAGAGCTGAAGCACAGTGGGAAAGTGCTTTCCTAGCATGGACGGGAGTCTTGGTTTGTCTCCAGCACATTTTTCTTAATGCTTGCAAGCCTGAAACCATTTTTCATTTAACCATGAGAAATTAATTGATTTGTCTTTTTGGAATCTGATCCTGTATTATCCATATTTTGACTAAAGCAGAGATAAAAAGAAGAAACATGAATTATTTCTTTGTGTCATTGAAATATTTGATGTTGTATACTACTGTGTAAAATGTTTTAGGCTTTATTTCAGAGTCATTTAAAGTACAGAGATGATTTTTTCATGGCTGAATGGAAATAAAACACCCAATAAAACTATGTAAGTTATATGCTAGCTATTCAATTTCTCCCATTTTCCACCTTCCATCTTATATATTTAAGTGATAGTCCACATCAGCATGAATCCTAACATGCAGAGCTACTCAATAATAATTCTCCTAATGGTCTTCATATTTTCCCATGGCCATTGCTGTCCATGAATTTGTTCATCTTCATTTACTTATTAAAACAGCTACTGTACACATAAAGCAAGGGTACAAAGAGAGGGGAGTGGAAACAGCTATGTTCTTTATTTTTTTATGTATTCATTTATTGGTTTATTTGAGACAGGGCTTCTCTGTGTAACCTTGACTGTCCTGGAACTCACTCTGTAGACAAGCTGACTCAAACTCAGAGATCTGCCTTTCTCTGCTCCTGAGTGCTGGGGTTAAAGGTGTGGGCCACCACCACTGACTGGCTCCAAAACAGCTATGATTTTTAAATTTGGCATTTTTCCAATATATATATTTCCTGATCATTTAGCTTGTTCTAGGTATACTATCAAATAGTAATATTAATTTTGTTTAATTAATTTAGCATTTTTATATTCAGATAACACAAATATCTTTGAATCTAATTTATGTAAATATTCACCTCTCATGTCATAAAAATACTTTGAAATAAAAAAGGAGAGATTTCTTCAGGAAGCATTCACTGCTTCAGATTTTGTTCAGGCTGGGTAAAAGTGCTTTGTGTGCAAGCCTAAAGACATGAGTTTGAATCCCTAGGACCTATGTAAAAAGTCTAGTATTGCGCCTGTAATCCCAATGTTGAGGCCACCAGCCTAGCTCCAGTCTCAAAGGAATATGGTGGAAAATGATAAAGCAGAACATTTGGTGTCCTCCTATGGCCTCCACACATGTACAGGTGTACACCCTGAGCACACATGTTTATCGGCATCACACATATACTATACACATATTCACACACACCTAAAATAAATAGTTGATAATAGAGAGATAAGTAGATAGGTAGGTAGGTAGATAGATAGATAGATAGATAGATAGATAGATAGATAGATAGATAGACAGACAGACAGACAGGACTGTTTCCTTTGCCTGCACAAAGAGTATTCAGGTTAAACACACTAATAGTATTAATATGGCATGTGTCTTCTTAAAGCTGTTAGGATAAGAGAAATTCATTTGGAATGCTTGCTGGGGACAGTTAGGAAGCTTTGAAAGTCCAGAACATAGAACATTTCCTACCCAGTGAGACTGCCAGGTCTTGCTGTCTAGAGGTGGTTTTTCCATCTTGAGGTCTATCATCCAGGCTCCTGGCTTGTCTGGTTTCCTCTGTTGTAACTGTGGGCTCTTCCCCCATACTCACTACATCCATTCTGCTCTTCTTCTTGTCCTCACTTAGGAAACACTCCTCTGCCACTCTGCGCTTACTGCTGCCCGCAGACTCTGTCTGTTCAGCATTCTGAAAAGTGGATCCTATTACTGAATTTCCCAGGATTCCTGGCATGGAAATGGCCTTTATATTACTGATGCACCTGGAAAATAAAATCCATTTGCAACTCTCAATGTTTCAAGGAAAAAAAAATGTTCAGATTGTCAAAATTCTTAGGACTGGGACTTCCTTAGGATGGTGTTTGGCAAAGAGGATGCACTCTGTGACACAGAGGTGACCAGTCCAGCAGTTGAGGACATCAAATCTAAGTAGATTACTAGACACAGAGAGTCTTCCAAGGACCTCACTGTGAAACCAAAAGTGGTCATTTATGAAACCTAACTAGATTATCAGAAGAGATAAATTATAGGAAAGAAGCAGTAGCTCTTTAAAGATTGACAGCCACAGAAGAACCATCATTGGTGGAAGAATTGGCTTAATTGGCATATTTTAGCAGCTGCTGGTCTTCTTAAGCACAATTTGTCATGATGGACTTCAATAATGACTAGTGTTTAATATATAGGAATTAGATTTCTTCAAGATTAATTTAAAATGTACTACATTAAAGCTAAGAAACAATTATATCTTAAAGACCCCCAAAAGACATCAGAGGTGTTTGGATACCCTTTGCTCCAAACAAATACCATACTTAAGGCAGCCAACTTTAATTGGATACAAAAATTCCTGAATTTGTACATGACACTTCTTCATTTTAATTTTAATTAAGAAACTTAGTTATAATGAATTAGGTCAACTCCTTCAGATTTGGGTTTTTAATTTACAACTCAACATAATCATTATTTCTTAGCCTTAGAAAGGATATGTTTTCATTGCTAAACAATAAATCTTTTTACTTGTTCTTTAAGTAGTATTGATTATTGAAGATATCAAAATTCGTGATCTTAATGTTGGTGTTAAGACTTAGACACAATCAAATGGGGATCAGGGAGGAAGTGTAGACTTAGCTTGAACAAGGCTCTGAGCTCCATCCCCAGTGGAGGGAAGTAAAGAAAGAAGGAAAGGGAAAAGGAACTGAAAGGGGGAGGGAGGGATAGATGGATAGTTGGGGAGAGAGCCAGGGAGAGAGGGAGGGAGGCAGGGAGGAAATAACTGAAAATATTGGCAAGAAGAAAGAGGAATAGCAGAATAATAGGAAAATGTAGTCATGAAAAATCAATATAAGATAGGAGTGCATTCTAAACATTGCCTTTAAAAACATTTTCATTTTTCTTCCAAAATGGCCTCCCATACCACAGCACAAAGGCCTTCAGGAGACAGGAGCTGTGGATATGTAGAACTGTAACACTACCTTTTGTGGGATGGGCCGCCATTCATTTCATCCATGTGCTGATTTTCAGTTGAGTGTTTGCCCAGCACGGTTTCACTCCCAGCTATTGAAACTCTCTTCTCAGCTGCTAACCCTCTGGTATCTTCCGTAGAAGGAAGCTCATCTTTCCCTCCTTTGAAAGATGGACATCCATTTTTATCCTCAGTGTCTCGCTTATCTCCCAGGATGCTGCTTTCTTGTCTCTCCAGATTTTCTATGCATGGACCATCTTTTCCACCTGCATTCTCTCTTATCTCTGTGGAATTCCTTGGAACAAAGTCTGCCTCGTCTTGTCTTTCCTTATGACATATGGTATAACTCCTCTGGCCTTCAGAAGTGTTGGTCTTCTCAGCATTTTTCCTGTTGAGTTTGGTAACCTTTTCTTTCTCGGAGGAGAAGTGGTCTTTCTGGTCTGGTCTCTCTAGAAGCCACAGAACACAAAACATTTTAATGAAGAATTCACATGACCACTTTAATTTTGGCTTCATTCAATGGCATCTCTAGTTTGGCTTCTTTTTAACAACAGATTTAAGTTTTCAAAAGCAAGGCAGAATGAAATATGCCCCCTGACTGAAAACTGTGTGTCAAGATTTTCTTATCTATCGCTGGCAAGTCCAAAGCCAATCAGATAAAAATATCAAGAAAACAGCCCTCTTCCCCACAGGATTTAGGAATGTGTGATTTTCTCCAAATAAGAGAAACAGCAGAGTCTCTCCATAACCACTGAGTCTCCTAAGGATGTTGTTACCTGTGAGTGCTGATGTCTTTCCACCTTTGACAACTGTCCTTTCATTCAGCGCAGGGTTGGACCACACATTTTCCTCAGCCTGTGGGAATACAATCAAGCAATTAAGGTTACCTACAGTATACACACTGCTTAGCCTCAGCGCTACTGACATGGGCTATTCAATTCTTCATGTAAAGAGCATCACAGCATGACATGATGTTTAAGCATTATACCAGGCCTCTCCCCACCAGTGCCAGGAGAAGCCTGCCTTCCAGCTGTGATAACCAAAAAATGACTCCAGACATTTGAAATTTAATTTCTCAGTTTACAGTGCATAATACATTATTGCTGACTATATTTACCCTGCTGTGCAAAATAAAAATCTCAGCCCTATTCTTGTCTATCTGAAATGTTGCCAATTAAAAATAATGTTAGTAAAGCAAAATGTCTCCAAAGATTACTAAATTTCCTCAGAAGTAAGGGCAAAAATTGTCCCAAGCTGAAACTATTATACTATGTAATTCAAACATGGGGAAAGACACAGAAATTGATAGTCATATAACCTGAAAAATAGTCTGAACTAATGACACTCTGTATAGACAGCAATATCAAACAAAACAAAATGAGCTCTTTTCTCTTTTCTTTCTTCCTTCCTTCCTTCCTTCCTTCCTTCCTTCCTTCCTTCCTTCCTTCCTTCCTTCCTTTCTTTCTTTCTTTCTTTCTTTCTTCCTTTCTTTGACACGGTTTCTCTGTGTAGCTTTGGAGCCTGTTGTGAAACTCACTCTGCAGACCAGGCTGGCCTCAAACTCATAGAGATCTGCCTGCCTCTGCCTCCTGAGTGCTGGAACTAAAGGTGTACGCCACCACCGCTGGCTGAGCTCACTATTTTCCAACAAATTCTGTCATGGTGTGGAAGGTAACCCATCTGCAAGATCTCATTGATGGGTACGGCTAACTTGTAAGCTGCTCTTGACCTCCGTTTTAGTTGTTTTGATTTGGTTCACATATCAACTGAAGAAAAATCAGAGAACACATGTGAATGAGCTTTCTGAACTACCTGGAGGAGATGAAGGCAGTTAGCTTAACAACTGCTTCTTCCTTTCCCTAGAATGCCTTCCTCCCAAACAGTTACATGTTCGCACAATACTAGTTTCCCCAGATTAGCATAACAAACTCTTCATACACGGTGTGAAAGGTAAAGATTAGCTAGCCCACACAAATTCTAAGTTATACATTGTAAATTGATAAAGTCATATGAAGAAGCCACAGAAAAATCAGTCTCCCCACTCTTTGGAGCAGAACTCAAAGGGGTTTGCAAATATGAAGTATCACATAAGTGCACACTGTTGTGCCTAAGACAAATTGCAAATACCCTTATGAAAATGCTTCCTTTTTCCAGATGGGCGCCTCACCACACAGAGTCGCATGTATTACATCTATAGGAAGCCAAGGGTGGAGAGCAAAGCTATAGGAAGCCTCTCACTTTTATGTGCAAGTACAGAGATGGCAGTAAAGAATGTTCCATTTCCTTAGGCAAAGCCAGTTGCTACTTCTGCATGTGGGCACAGAACTTGGCACTTAGGCCAATACCAGTGCTCCCTGTAACACTTCACTGAACTGTTTTGGTCAGTTTGTTTCCTACTAGGTGTTGGGTTTATTATGACCATGGTACTTAGACTAGAGACATCATGTAGTGATGATGATGATGGTAGTGTGGTCATGGTGCTGTAATGATGGTGATAACAGGGAAGATGATGATGATAATAGTGTGTTCATGATGATGGAGATAAGAATGAGAATAACAATGATGGCTACATGTACTGAGCACAGACAAGTCTACTAGAAATTCTTCAGTGTACTCTGCATGGTTAACTCACTGGTGATTCACAGGAATCCTTTGAGAGAGGCTGACCATCAACCACATTTTTATAAGGAAGTCAGGATTCTAATTCATTTCTCTGTTTGGTCTCTTCTCTAAGTGGCAGCATGCTCTGTACTATTTTCCTGGTATAGAAAGGGATTTTAGCCAACCTGGATAGTTAATATTGGGATCTACTGAAGAGTATGCATCATAGAATAAGAAAAGCAAGAGCAGGGAGTGTAAAAAAAAGCATTAACACAGCAAGGAAGACACATGTGTTCGTTAGCTAAAAGATTAGAATTAACATGGAAGAGGGGAGAAAGAGATCATTTCATTTTAACCTGAAAAGTCTATATTCAAGTTAGTCAAGTAAGGCAGTTGAACAAATTGTGTTGATGGCGTTTTATATTTGTCTCTTGGTAATTTCCCTTCTGAAATGAAAATGTCTGGTGTATTAGCAGGCACCATGCTTTGGGATTCATCCTGTGTGGCAGAGACACGACAGTAAGAGCAAAGTGAACTGGATAACGATAAAACCTGGTGTGTGTTCATTTAGTTCAGCCCATCAGAATATGTAAAAGTGAGAGTCTGGCCACAGAACTCTGTGGAACCAGTCCGGGCCACGAGTATCCTGGCAAAGGTGAGCGTGAGGTGTCCACATTCTTCATTCAGAGGTTGGCCTGGCCAAGCATGGAAACTGTCAGTGCTGAAGACACAGGAGCCAGTCACCAAGCAGGGCTGCTCTTCCTTTTTGTAATTATGAGTCGCATGTGTTTTACCATTTAAATAATGCAAGACCGCCATTCATTGCCACAGGCTATTTATAGTTTTATTTCCCTATGTAATACTGACATCTAGAGGAACTGAAGTGTCTCTAATAAACAGAACTAGTATTTTTTCCTTTTCTCTCCCTATGTAGCAACCATGTGAACCTTTATTCTGCATTTCACTTTGCATTTCAATTCCTCCATAGAAGTTCATACAACAGGACACAGATCTATGGACACATTTTACCTGTCATCCAAAAATGACATTTGTTTTCTATGAATATAGAAGTCAGGATCAATACTGTTAAAGAAGAAATTCATAAAACCATTCCCATCATCCTGCAAAGAGGGATGTGCTTCTCTGCTGCATTCACAGTTCTGGCTGAGATGGACAAAAAATAGATTTGTCTATTCATTCATTTAAAAAATATGTATGGCTGGGCAATGGGGGTGCACACCTTTAATCCCAACACTCAGGAGGCAGAGCTGTGGGTTCAAGGTCAGCCTGGTCTACAGAGCAAGATCCAGGACAGGCACCAAAACTACATGGAGAAACCCTGTCTGGGAAAACCAAAATAAATAAATAAATAAAATAAAAAATATGTATGAATTTGCATATGGATACCTTTGCCAGTGCCTGCCAATTCCTTTTGTAACAATTCTTTTTTTATATTTTACATATCTTAAGATATATATTAATAAAATTAGGCAAACATAATTTATGTGTTACTATAATGTTTTTTCTAAAAATAAGTATGCACACACATTATCAATGTATATAATTGGTGAATATTTTAGAGTGGGCTAACCTTTTACTGATAACTATGCAAAATCAAATATTTCAGAGACCCAGTTTTTTAAGCATGCTGGTTAGTTTTTATCAGCTTGACACAAACTAATCACCCAGAAGAAGGAATCTCAATTGAGGAACTGCCTCCAGTAGATTGGCCTGAGGCATGTCTGTGGGACATTTTCTGGACTAATGATTGATGTGGGAGTGCCCAGCCCACTGTGGGCAATACCACCCAGATGGTCCTGGGTGGTATAAGAAAGCTGAGCAAGACATGGAGAGCAAGCCAAGGAGAGCAAGCCATGGAGAGCCAGCCAGGAAGCAGCGTTCTTCCATGGTTCCTTCCTCTGCTTCTCTTGCGTTCCTGTCCCGGTTCCCTCCAGGACCTACTGCAATCAGGAAATGTAAGCCAAATAAACCCTTTCTTCCCCAAGGCACATTTTGGTCTTGGTATTTATCACACATAACAGAAAGCAAGGTAGCGTACTAGGCAACACTATTTCAACCATATTCTGATTTTTCTTAATTGTCTGTTTTGGAGGGGGAAAACATTCTAATTAGCTGGTTCAAGAACAAGCACATAATTAGAACTCTCGGTTAATTTCTTACCAGGTGTTTTTTCTACAATAAACTCTCTATATGAGGTCAGGATTCATCGCTCAAACACCTGCTTTCATTGCTCATCACACACTTTACACCCATGTCACCTCTAGAATTTGACTTGCCAAAGGATCCAACCATGTGCGGTAGTAGCATCCACTGCCAGGGCAGGAGTTCCTTTCTGTCCTGTACTTCAAACCCACTTTGAGCCACACCTCGACTCTCCTGGAAGCGGTGAGATAACTGGGTGGGAAATTAACCCACAAGTCCAACTTTGCCTGTTCCCTCTTTCATACCCATTCAATAAAAACAATCCTTTAGAAATCAATTAAAAAATGGACTTCACCTGACCAGTGACAGGGAAAGTGAAACTTCACTAGACTTCAACAATCCTGCAGTCAGTTCTTGTGTCATTGTGCCACTGAGGGACACATCTGTCCTCCGACTGGTATATGGAGCCTTCGCTCTATTTTTGGTCCTCTAGCACTTGAACAGGAGAATTTGGGGCTCTAAAAAACTGCTCAGGAAAGCAATGTGCGCTGAAGGGAGGACGTGCCTGCAGAAATGGTTCTTCTAGTGTGGGCGTGTTCTGCCATTAGGCTCCTCACAGGAAAGCAAGGTTTCCCTGAGGACCATTGCCCATGCATCCCTGCCACCAATGCGCATACCCCTTGCTTCACTTCAGAACAAAATGTTACGTGATAATCACATCCTTGCATTTGGGGATTAGAGCTGCTTCAGAACAGTAAATTCATAACATCACACATGGAACAGAACCAAACCTGCTCCCTGAATAGTGGCTTTGTGTCTCATCGCTGTGGTAATGCCATGGTGAACACTTTCCGGTCATTTTAACCTAATGTCTAGTAATATAAAAACAAAATTATAACAATTTAAAATGACTTTGTTAAATTTTAACTAGGTTCTTAATGGGAGCAATGAGAAGAAATAATTCCTGACAGAATACAAACAGAAAGGATTTTAGAAGAAATAGTGACTTACGTCTCCCTATTTGAATATAAAACATTAATTGTAACATCTTGTGTCTATTTCTTATTTGTTTAGAGTGAGTGTGCCACAGC